CAAGACTTCCCTCCCCCCCCCCCCAACTGCCGCCTCTGTATACAAAAACAAAGACAAATATCCCCCATATAGCCTTCACAGGTTGTTGGGGGAAGTGCTGTTATCGGGCACCAATAGAGGGGCAGTATGATGTCTCCCCAGTGCTGATGTGTAACACACACACACACACTGCACAAGGTACTCATTCAAGGCTGAGTCAACCTACCGGAAGCTCAGAACGGGTTCAGATATTTGCCACCAATCTTGGGAGCGAGCGGGAGTCGAACTCGGTCCACCAGGTTTGTCGCGCACCGCGCTAACCGCCACGCCACCGCTCCTCCCACACACATGCAACGATAGCCTGTACAGGACTGTTGGGGAAAGTGCTGTTAGCGAGCAGCACCTATGAAGGCCCGAACGGCACACGAAGGGGTCGGCGGCCAACACCACGCTCGGCCGCCTTTGTCTCTCCAGTGGCGATGTTTACTACACACCGCACCAGGTACTAATTTGACCGGTTCAGATAATAGTCACTGGTGTCGGCCGTGAGTGGGAATCAAACTCGGGCCGCCCGCCAGGTTCGTAGCGCACCGCGCTAATCGCCACGCCACCGCTCACCCCATATTTATACGCTCCGGACACACACTCCACTGCTGGACAAATGCATCCCTAAGCCCGGTTCTGTGACGCGAATCTCCACCGACCGTCATTGCAGGTACGGTAAATACACGCACTTGGTTTGCCGTTTACCTTAAACGCGCAGGAGATGCCCTTCCGCACAGGTGTACTGAGACCCGGGACGCAAACTAAACTCAAGCTGAACTTTTTTTATTTTTCCAGCTAAGGCCCCACTGAGCTATATAGCTTCTCTTCAGAAGCGACGTGGTTATCACAAATGATAGCTCAACGGAAGTGGCTTCTCATGTGGAAAATTATAGCAGCCATATATTCGAAACGCGTGTTTTTAAATGCAGAGGGGAAAACCGGAGGACCCGGAGATACATCCACGTGACCACGGGAAGAGACACCGCAAACTCCAAATATATACTGCAGGCGTCAGGGTCGGGATCGAACCCACGACCTCCTGTATACCAGGCGAGGTAGTTAACATCTCACCGCCATGGCACCCAAACACACGTTGTCAGTCGGCGTGCCAGTGCCATGCACCATGCCAGCGCTGGGTGCCTGCCGACGAGTGGCACATGCGACGACGGAGCGAATTTCACCACGGATGACGACCAACGGACCTCGCGCCTCGCGATGCTTCGGCGGGGCGCGATTGTGGTGGAAGTCGGACGTAATGGAGCAAGGAACAATTTTCCCAACAATTCACATTCGAGCTCTCGTCATGGCGCCTCTGGCATTACAGCTCTCATGATGAACATTAAGTGGTTCTGGAATGAGAAAAAAAAAGCTTTATTTGCGACATGGCCCAATAATTTGACAATTCATGCCAGGGAATCATCTTTCGGCTGAATAGACACCGTTTTTGAAAGCATTACAATGTCTCTCCGGCAAGACATCACCTGTCCAGTTGAGAGCATGGCAGGTTTGGCCAATAGAATGCCTTCCAGTCTCCTGGCACGCCCATTGTCAAGAGGTCACTATGGGCCAGTGTTGGTGATGCCAGCTCACTTTGGCCATCGCGTCCTCAGCCTATGCTAGATCCTTCGACTGTTTCATTGAAAAAATACAACCATGCCTCCGTCTTCCCCTTCTTACACGGTCCACTTGTGCTTCAAGGACCACATTTATATTCTCATCATCATTAAGACCATTAGGCATTGTCTCCCCCATTGCTGCACAGATGACACATACTTTCATGACCCTTCTTACAGCATTGACTCTTGCCCTCGCCATGCGCACAGGTTTTCCTCCCACACATATAAATAAACATTCATTCATTGGCTGAAAACAGAGCTTGGCCCAATTGTTGGTCGTGCTGGCTCATCGCCTGGCTGCTGCTGCTGCCTTAGGGTGTCGTCTGTGGTTTCTCGTCATGCGTCCTGAGACATTTTGCCTATTGGCGAGCGAGCGAAGAAAACTATATACACTATCTTGACTTAAAGCTTTCGTTACTGCAGGACTTAATATTCTTTGGGTCTTTCGGTAAAGTCACGCAGATAGGTTCAAAGAAAAGAGCAAAAAACTACGAGGCTTCGATCGCAACACAAGCGGTCGTCATCAGGAAAAGGGGGTTAGCTTCTAAAGACAACTGTTTTATGAAGGTTTGAAATGAGCGTAGGTTTGAAATAGCCCATTTCAAACCTTCATAAAACAGTTGTCTTTAGAAGCTAACCCCCCTTTTCCTGATGACGACCGCTTATGTTGCGATCGAAACGTCGTGGTTTTGTGTTATTTTCTTTGAACATATCTACGTGACTTTACCGAAAGACCGCAAAGAATATATAAACTATGTTTTTATTTTTATTTTACTAGGTAAGGCCCACTGAGATATATAGCTCTTCTTTTCCAGAAGCGACCTGGCCACAAATGATCAGCTGAACGAAGTGGCTTCGTCTCGTGGAAATGTGTAAGCAGCCAAATACCCAAAACGCGTGTTCCTAAACATAGAGGGGTGAAAAAAACCGGGAGGACGCGGAGAAAAATCCACACGACCACGGGAACAGAGAGAGAGAGAGAGCGAGAGAGACACGCAAACTCCAAATATACAGCAGCAGGGTCGGCATCGAACTCACGACCCTCCTGTAGTTTACCAGGCGAGGTAGTTAACATCTCGCCAACGCGGCGCCCTTGCCGTGCTGCGCTACACGTTGACGTTTGTGTTAACGCGCCGTACACGGGAACCTATTTAGTCACAGACGGGGGCGCCTGAAACCCAAATTCAAATCCAGGATCTCATCAGGACCGGCTCAGCTTTTTCCCTGACCCCTGAGCCACCCAACCGCCTCCCCTGAATCCTATAAGCCCCCCCCCCCCCACCCACCCCCCCCCCCCCCCTTGCCGTGTGTTGCACGTTAAAGAGGCGGCCACATTAAAAAAAAAATGCCGCGCTTGAATTTTCGTCAGAAAAAAAAAACATCGCGAAGGCAGACAGTCAACAACCCAGAAAACCTTTCGGGTATTCTTACAGAACCCACTCAGGCTCGGCAAAGTGTTATGAAACAGCTTTTTTGTGCGTCTTTTAATTTCCCTTTGTGACACGTCTAGCAGTGTAGGGCCAGCACTCACATGGTTTTTTATTTATATTATTATTCTAGGCAGAGCTCCAGTTCACAACTGATGAGACACAGGGGCTGCATTATTTCTCTCATTTGGTCTTCGCTGCGGTGATGCCAGAGCTTAGCTCAGTGACGGATTTGAGCTCTGCTTTCGCCAAAGAATTAGAATCTGATTTTTGACGATCGGATGGCACGAAGGCGCGGATCAGAACGACACTCGATCAACGTCGCTCTGATTTGACTCGATCATGAAAAAAATGACAGCGTAAATAACTGAACCTTGCGAAATGGGCAGTGATGTTGAGGTCTTCTATCACATCTACAGCGAGGTGAATTCATTTGATTTGTAGCTTTGGCAATCTATATTCCTGGTGGCGGCGTGAAATCTATAGCATTGACCTTTTGCGGTGAAGTTGCGTAATCATAATTTAATTCGGGTCGCAAAAAAACGGGGATATTTGCAAAAGACCGTGCGTCGGATCGAATTGGATCCACACGACCCTCTCCCCCCCCCCCCCCCCCCACCACATTGCACATCCATAGTCACGGTGGCTCGCGTCATCACTCGCTCGTCACCTTGGGGGCCGCCACGATGGCATTGCCATTGTCGTTAGCGAACAGCGATCGCGTGAGGAAGGACCCTCCCCTCCGCCTCCTCTTACCTTTGAATGTCCCTGCCTCTGCCTGACACGTCAAGCGCCTGCGCTGCTTCATTAGCAAGGGAGGTGGGTGGGGGGGGGGGCAGGGTGAGGGTGCAGCTGCAGTCGATAATGATGGGGGGGGGGAGGGGGTCGCGTGTCGTTGGGAATTTTTGAATTTCTGATTTGCGCGGCAGGAGCGGGCGAATGTGGCGCTCGGCGCGGATTCGTTGCATCGGGCGCTTGTCCGTGGCCTCTCGCAGGGGGATGGGGCAGTGGTAAAAACAAAATCTATCTATTTTTAAGGGGCTGGGGCCGGTGGAAACGTTTAGAATGCATCTAAAGGTTTGCTAAAGTGCCGTACGTACGCGTACAGGTGGTCGAGTGAATGTGGTTCTTGCCGAATGTGTTTCTTGCCGAATGTGTTTCTTGCCGAATGTGGTGTTTCTCGCCGAATGTGGTGTTTTTTGCCGGTGCCGAAATTCCTGTGCACAGGCTGTGTGAATTGGCCCCGCGTGTAGGTGTGTGTGTGTGCCATTACCCCATCCGTGTGTGTTTGCGTCTATATGGGGAGCGGTAGTGCAGCGGTTAGCACGCTGCATTAAGAACTCGGTGACCCGAGCTCGATTCCCATTTACGGCCAACACCAGTGACGATTATCTGAACTGGCTCAGCCTCAAATGAGTACGTGGTGCGGTTTTCAAACACCGCCACAGGGGACACAGTATGATCCTTGGCCATCCACCCCTCATGTGCCGTGACGACCTTCATAGGTGCTCGCTAATAGCACTTGCCCCAATATGCTGTGAAGTCTCTAAGGGGCATCTTTGTATTTCTTTTGTGTGGCACCTGGGTCGGTCCCGTGACTTCCGGCCAGTGGGCGTTTGACACTTCCCGTGACCTTAAAGTGCACTTAGCCTGGCACATGCACCGTGGGTGATGTCACCGACACTTAGCGGCGAATGGCGATTGTTGTTGTTGTTGTGTGCCCGTGCATCTCTACTGTAAGTGTGTCAATATCCACGTGTCACCTGTGTGTGCATTTCCCGTGTTTGAATGCCACTGCTCTGCGTGTACCTGCGCCCGTGCATCTCCGTCCCGCGCGTCACGACCCCGCGCCCTCTCGCCCGCCCCACGCGCCCACCTACGTGCGTACGTGCGTACGTAGTGCTCACACACGTGCCCCTGCGTGCGCTTGCAGACATCCGCGGGGTGCGCGGGTTCCTGGCGCGCGCCGCCCGCCAGGGAGCCGAGGTGTCGCTGCAGCAGGTGGACGGGAACGTGGGCCGCATGATCGCCTCGCTCTTCCGCTCGCTCAAGTACGAGGAGCTGAACCGCTACCGCGACTCGCTCCGCAGGGCCGTGCTGCTGCTCAACCCGCGCCTGGCGCGCACCTTCATCGCCGAGGTACGCGGCGCTCGCCCATCGCGCTCGCTCGACCGTTGCGCTTGCTCGCTCATCGATCCCGCTCGCCCATCGCGCTCGCTCGACCGTTGCGCTTGCTCGCTCATCGCTCCCGCTCGCTCATCGCTCGCCCGCGTTGCTATCGTTCGTTGTGTGTATCGTACTCCTGGGGTATGGTTACTAACGGTGCTGCTCCGTGGTGTCGCGTATGCACGAGCAATTCTAAAGATGTATGGGCGCCATGGTGGCGAGATGTTAACTACCTCGCCTGGTATACATGAGGTCGTGGGTTCGATCCCGACCTTAACGCCTGTATATTTGGAGTTTGCATGTTCTCCCCATGGTCGCATGGATTTTTCTCAAGGCCCTCCGATGTTTCCCTCGACATTTAGAAACATGCGTTGTATTTGGCTGTTGTAAATTTCCACGTGATAAGCTTTGCTGAGCTATCATTTGTGGCCAGATTGCATCTGAAATAGTAGGCCTTACCTGGTAGAATAAACATATTTTTAGTAGTTGTATCCAATTCGTGGAATTTGGCGAACCTGTGCTCTCGAAAGCCTCAGTCTGAGGGTTCCCTGGACGTAAAATGTGTTTATTTTATAGCGTTCTATATATATATTTTTTAAGTTTTGCTGGCTTGCTTGCTGGGTGCCTGTCACGTGGGAGGGAAGCGTTGAGCCGGGGTCATGCGTCGCGCTGAAGGAACGCCTCCCCCCCCCACTCCCCCCACCGAGGCCAGTGCTCGTATAAATTTTAAGTAAAACAAAAGATAATATGTGCTCACAGCGAGCACACATTCTTTCCAGCAACTACATCCAGCGAAGCCCTAGTATTTACCCTCCGCTCACTTCCTCCCGGTGATGGCGAGTGAAGCGGTTAAAAAAAAAATTACCGCGCGGGAGTCACAGTCTAAATAATAAATGACGAGGACGAGGGACTGCGTCTCAATCTTGTTCGTACTCACGGCCCTCAACTGGCGGGCCGCCGAGCTCGCTCGATCTCGGCGGCGCGAGTGAGGGCCGTGGGTGTCCAGGAGCAATGGCGATGAAAAATGATAGAGGAGTTGTTTAGTAAGTAAGGGCTTGTCCCTTGCTTTCTATTCGACGCGTGTGCGGCGATGGCACAGCCATCGATCGAGGGTCGAATTCGAACCGCGTTGCGTGATCGGCATCGCGCTCGCTGAAGGTGTCGATGCCTTCAGGGAAGTCGTGGACTCTGTATACGCATCTGCGCACAATTCTGTGAGTCACTTATAACCGCTTTGCCGTTACTTATTGGCAATTATGGACTCAGAGCTATTGTTCTATCATCTCATAGAGTCCCTGGCACGTAACAATATGCTACACAGTGGCAGTGGGGGTCGCAAAATGCCGATTTATTACTAATAAACCCCAATGATCCGATTAAACCATCATCACGCAAACTCCGGTCTTCCTCGCATCAGCGGCTTTTGGTTGGCCGCCAAACAAAGACGGTCACCGCATCGCGTGCTTCCAGATGCGCTTCCCCGGCCGTCTGGAACGCTCTTCCTTTCCGCTAGTAGGAAACCACTGAAGATGTGCACTTTTAAATAATCTAGATTGAAAACTGACTTCTTTAGATCTGCTTTTTTTGCGTTTAGTTTTTCGTCCTTCCCCCTTCCAACTCTCACTAGCATGCTTCTCAGTGTCCGCTGCAACAACAAAAAAGTTCAACATACGCACACTAAAATGGCGCGGAGGGTCCGTCTGCCCCAGCTTGCGAACTGTGACGCCCAGCCGCATAGCTTCGTGAAGACCGCACCTCCTACTTTGTAGCAGCGCTGTGGTTGCTAAGCACTGCTCTGTGTCACTGACAATGACAGTGCCCTAATCGTGGACACAACCCCGACCGTGTGGGTTCATTTGGTGGAAAGGACGCCACGCTGTGGGCTAAAACGTGGGTGCCCGCATCTGTCTACAATTGTGCGTGTAATGTATACAGTTTGCGACCAATATATATAAAAAAAAATGTTTTATCAGGGCAGGATCTCTGTCTGTTGTGAGTAGACCGTCCTTTTTTATTACTAAATCATCATTTGCGTTATTGTTCAAATTGGAAGAACGTTCGCTTTTACCTCTAAGGCCGTGTGTGTGTGTGCTCCCGAGCGTGTGTGTCATACATCAGTATAACCGCGCGCGCGTGTGTGCGCACTGTAGATTTAGCTTCATTAAATCGATATTTGATATTTTCTCTGCAAATAAGACGGCGCGGTGGTCGGCAAACACCCACTGACTTTTCTACGAATTCCTGCGCGCTGCTCGCGTGCACCGCCTCGCATCACAACTTACAGTGAGGGAAACAAATATTTGATCCCCTGATGATTTTGTACGTTTGCCCACTGACAAAGAAATGATCAGTCTATAATTTTAATGGTAGGTTTATTTGAACAGTGAGAGACAGAATAACAACAAAAAAATCGAGAAAAACGCATGTCAAAAATGTTATGAATTGATTTGCATTTTAATGAGGGAAATATGTATTTGACCCCCTCTCAATCAGAAAGATTTCTGGCTCCCAGGTGTCTTTTATACAGGTAACGAGCTGAGATTAGGAGCACACTCTTAAAGGGAGTGCTCATAATCTCAGCTTGTTACCTGTATAAAAGACACCTGTCTACAGAAGCAATCAATCAATCAGATTCCAAACTCTCCACCATGGCCAAGACCAAAGAGCTCTCCAAGGATGTCAGGGACAAGATTGTAGACCTACACAAGGCTGGAATGGGCTACAAGACCATTGCCAAGCAGCTTGGTGAGAAGGTGACAACAGTTGGTGCGATTATTCGCAAATGGAAGAAACACAAAAGAACTGTCAATCTCCCTCGGCCTGGGGCTCCATGCAAGATCTCACCTCGTGGAGTTGCAATGATCATGAGAACGGTGAAGAATCAGCCCAGAACTACACGGGATGATCTTCTCAATGATCTCAAGGAAGCTAGGACCATAGTAACCAAGAAAACAATTGGTAACACACTATGCCGTGAAGGACTGAAATCCTGCAGCGCCCACAAGGTCCCCCTGCTCAAGAAAGCACATATACATGCCCGTCTGAAGTTTGCCAATGAACATCTGAATGATTCAGAGGACAACTGGGTGAAAGTGTTGTGGTCAGATGAGACCAAAATGGAGCTCTTTGGCATCAACTCAACTCGCCGTGTTTGGAGGAGGAGGAATGCTGCCTATGACCCCAAGAACACTATCCCCACCGTCAAACAGGGAGGTGGAGATATTATGCTTTGGGGGTGTTTTTCTGTTAAGGGGACAGGACAACTTCACCGCATCAAAGGGACGATGGACGGGGACATGTACCGTCAAATCTTTAGTGAGACCCTCCTTCCCTCAGCCAGGGCATTTAAAATGGGTCGTGGATGGGTATTCCAGCATGACAATGACCCAAAACACACGGCCAAGGCAACACAGGAGTGGCTCAAGAAGAAGCACATTAAGGTCCTGGAGTGGCCTAGCCAGTCTCCAGACCTTAATCCCATAGAAAATGTGGAGGGAGCTGAAAGTTAGAGTTGCCAAACGTCAGCCTCGAAACCTTAATGACTTGGAGAAGATCTGCAAAGAGGAGTGGAACAAAATCCCTCCTGAAATGTGTGCAAACCTGGTGGCCAACTACAAGAAACGTCTGACCTCTGTGATTGCCAACAAGGGTTTTGCCACCAAGTACTAAGTCATATTTTGCAGAGGGGTCAAATAATTATTTCCCTCATTAAAATGCAAATCAATTTATAACATTTTTGACATGCGTTTTTCTCGATTATTTTGTTATTCTGTCTCTCACTGTTCAAATAAACCTACCATTAAAATTATAGACTGATCATTTCGTTGTCATGGGGCAAACATACAAAATCAGCAGGGGATCAAATACTTTTTTCCCTCAGTGTAGGGAACAAGTCGATATTCTTAGCGGACTATATTTTTGGTTCATTGATGATTTTCATGGAATTCGAGATGGCGCGGATACCCAATAATATATTTTTTTGCACGCACGGACTCGCCGCCGCCCGCGGCTTTGATGGAATGTTCAAAAGACGACGGCATGCATACATTAACAAAAGACAAACGCAAATACACCCCCGTGTGGCCTTAACAGATCGTCGGGGCAAGTGCTGTGAGCAAGCACACCTGTACACCTGTGAGTTAACCTTATATGCGGGAGTGGTAGTGTAGTGGTTACCATTGTTGCACTGCGCTATAAATAAATAATACACAGAGGACCGCAGAGCTCGGGCATTTGCTGGCAGCAGCTCACCGCATGGCTGCCTTCACGGTCATCTGTGGTTCCTCCTCGTACCTCCGGATTCGTCCGCTCTCTCTACGAGACGGAGCGAGGTAATGTTCACGTTACGAACTGAGGCAGAAATTATTACTTTGTGCCTTTCTTGCGAACTCCTGCCCTCCTTTCAGTGCCTTCAACGCTGTCCCCCACCTCCATCACAACTCCCTCGGTTCCCCCCCCCCCCTCCCTTCTACCCCTCCTTCCTTTAACAGATTTTTTTTTTTAAAACACCTCACCTGCAACTCCCTCCTCCTGTCAGGCCTGGGCCAGGCCAACGGCGGGCCACTACACGTGAATAATAATAATCCCAAGTGCTGGTGACTGCCTCTCTTCCTCACAGCGGAGGTCACAGCATTGGGACTGCGTGTGACGTGCTCGGGGTAGGGACAGAGGTCAGAACGTTGAGCCCCTAGGCACCACGGTGGCGAGACGTTGACTACCTCGCCCGGTATATACAGGAGGTCGTGGGTTCGAGCCCGACCCTGACGCCTGTATATTGGGAGTTTGCGTGCCTCTCCCCGTGGTCACGTGGATTTTTCTCCGGTTTCTTTCCCTCCACATTTAGAATCCACACCGCGCGTTTTAGATTATTTGACAACCGCTATAAAAGGTCCACGTGATAAGCCGCTTCGTTGAGCTGTCATTTGTGGTCAGGTCACCTATGAAAAAGAGCAAAACAGCTCAATGGGCCTTACCTGGTAAAATAAAAAAATAAAATGTCGCTTAGCTTTATCATTTAGTTCGGAGATGCAGAGTTGGAATCGGGGTTGCAGCCACCCATGATTAATCTGCGTTATCAACTTGCAGCGACTTTGCAGTTCTTGCCCCGTACACAAATGACGGCACGAAAACAAGCCACCGCATACAATTTAGCCTTCACTTTAATTCAGGCATAATCCGGTTGCCAGGGTTAAAAGTTTCCGTTTGATCGCCCGTGTGCCCGACGCTGTCTGTGAGGCAAATTAAAATATCTCTGGCGGTGTGGGGTGGTGCGTGTGTTTTAATAATCAGTGTTTTACGTGTCCTGTATAAATGATCTATGGGGATGGGGCTGTGGCACATTGGTAAACGTGCTGCACTGCGATCCCGCCGACCCGAGTTCAAATACCGGCCGTGATGTAACCTCAACGGCGAGTGATATCTGAACTTGTCCAGGCTACTTCGAGGTTATTTCTGCCTTTAAATGAGTACCTAATGCAGCATGTAAAATGTCGTGTATTATTGTGGTGTAGCTGTCAGAGCGCTGCTCTACGAACCTGGCCACCCGAATTCGATTCCCGCTCACGGCCAACACCAGTGACGTATATCCGAACCGGTCCTAGGCCTCCCCTAGGTCGACTAAGCCTCAAAATAAGTACCTTGTGTGGTGTGTAAACATCGCCACTGGTGAGACAAAGGTGTCCGGGCGTGGTGCTGGCCGCCCACCCCCTCGCATGCCGTCACCCGGGCCGTCATGGGTGCTCGCTAACAGCGCTTGCACCCTTCAGTCTAAGGCTACATGGGGGATCTTTGTCCTTCTAGTGCTGACCGTAAGAGGTCCTCGCTAACAGGGCTTGGCCCAAGAGTCTGTTGACGGTTACATGGATGGGGAGGCGGGCGGGGGGATCCTTTGTCTTTTGTCCACGCGCTCTTATTTTATCTCCAATTGCTGCCTCCGCAACGATGCCGGCTCTGACGTCCGCGCCAAATGACCGTCCTGATCCGCCCTTGCGGCTCGAGCGCAAATTAGGGCCCTGCCGGTCACTCGTCCTTAGCGTCAGGCAGAGTCGCCGGCGGCGACGGAGGCGACCGAGAGGAAAAAAAAAGCGAAATGTTACCGGCGTCTCCTTCTGCATGCTGACGATGGACGGACGGACGGAATAACGCACGGGAAAATAGACAAACACGTGGATACGTGGGTACACGTATGGATGGAACGGATAAACAAAATCACAATAAAGGTTTTTTTTTGGGGGGGGGGCTGTATCGCGTGAATATAAATGTGTTCTTTCACCCGCCACCACCCGACACAGCCAATTAGTGAGGTTTGTCATGTTAACAAAAGGTACCAATGAGTTACTACTTCAGCACACCGATGTGTTGGAGTGTAAACTCACAACATTTACGATTCGAGTGCGACGTTTCGCGCAGCCTATGTATTTAATTGGGCAAAGAATAGATGCATGGATCAATAGATGGATTGACACGTGGCTGGATGGATGCACAGACAAATACACCGGTAGATAGACACATGCATACAAGTTAAAGCACAGATGCACAGACATGTGGATGAATGGATGGATGAATGGATGTCCAAGGATGTGAATGTATGGAAAGGAGAAAGCTGAATACCACTGTAGCTTGTCATAGTTGGAGAGTCTGGTTGTTGAATGTGGTTATAGTCTGGTTGGTGAGTGTTCTGAGTAAGCTGTGGTTATAGTCTGGTTGGTGAGTGTGGTTAGTAGGCCGTGATGATAGTGTGGTTGGTGAGTGTGGTTAGTAGGCCGTGATGATAGTGTGGTTGGTGAGTGTGGTTATAGTCTGGTTGGTGAGTGTTCTGAGTAAGCTATGGTTATAGTTTGGTTGGTGAGTGTGGTTAGTAGGCCGTGATAATAGTGTGGTTGGTGAGTGTGGTTATAGTCTGGTTGGTGAGTGTTCTGATTAGGTTGTGGTTATAGTCTGGTTGGTGAGTGTGGTTAGTAGGCAATGATGATAGTCTGGTTGGTGAGTGTGGTTAGTAGGCCTTGATGATAGTCTGGTTGGTGAGTGTGGTTATAGTCTGGTTGGTGAGTATTCTGAGTAGGTTGTGGTTATAGTCTGGTTGGTGAGTGTGGTTAGTAGGCCGTGATGATAGTCTGGTTGGTGAGTGTGGTTAGTAGGCCGTGATGATAGTGTAGTTGGTGAGTGTGGTTAGTAGGTCGTGATGATAGTCTGGTTGGTGAGTGTGGTTAGTAAGCTGTGATTATAGTCCGGTTGGTGAGTGTGGTTAGTAGGCCATGATTATAGTCTGGTTGGTGAGTGTGGTTAGCAGGCCGTGATGAAAGTCTGGTTGGTGAGTGTGGTTAGTAGGCCGTGATGATTGTCTGGTTGGTGAGTGTGGATAGTAGTCCATGATTATAATCTGGTTGGTGAGTGTGGTTAATAGGCTGTGATCACAGTCTGGTTGGTGAGTGTGGTTAGTAGGCCATGATTATAGTCTGGTTGGTGAGTGTGGTTAGTAGGCCGTGATCTTAGTCTGGCTGGTGAGTGTGGTTAGTAGGCCGTGATAATAGTCTGGTTGGTGAGTGTGGTTAGTAGGCCGTGATAATTGTCTTGTGGGACAGTCGCAGCTGTGCTGGCGTAAAGCCTCCCTCTTAAAAGTGTCAACCCCCCACCTCACGTCAATTGTGCGTGAATAAACAAAGCCGGCAGCGCGGGCCATGCATTTTCCACGCGGCGATGCCCTGCACTATGATGATGATGACAATAGACTTTGGCGAGCGACTATAATCACGATCAATATTTTCGATAATCGGTGCCAGCCAAAGTGGAGTGAGTAAGCGGGCTCGATACATTTTTCTTGCACAAAGTTGCCGATAAATTTTGCGCACAAGTGCCAGACTGCACCGGTGATCGCAGATGTTGAGAACATGTGGGTCAAATGTCAAGAACATGTGGGTCACATGTTGAGGACGTGGGCCACATGTTGAGGACATGTGGGTCACATGTTGAGGACATGTGGGTCACATGTTGAGGACATGTGGGTCACATGTTGAGGACATGTGGGTCACATGTTGAGGACATGTGGGTCATATGTTGGTATGGCTGCCATCTCCACATTTTCTCTCGCACTACCGTGTCTCCCACATTCCCAATTGCTCATCTTATCGTGTTGCACGTTCTTACCTTCCTGTCTCCTACCTCACCTCTTCATCTCCTATCTGTTCACATTTCTCCCTTCTACCTTCTCATCTTTCCATTTCCATCTCCTCAACTTTATATTGCCCGTCAAACCCCCCCCCCCCCACCCACCATCTCTCTCACCCGAGTCGTCGATTTTCAATTTTCCCACCTCTTTGGCTCCACATCTCTTCACCTCGCCACTCTCCCACCTCATTGCCTCTCACCAGTCCTATCGATTCACTTGTTTATATTTACGTTGCTGGCGAGCCTCAATAGCTGACTCCCACTCGCCTGCCCGCTGTTTTCCCTCCCGCTCTTCCACCCTCTCACCCCCTCTCGCTCTCCTGCTCGCCCACTCGCTCGCCCGCCCGCCCGCTCTCCCACCTCGCTTTCCCCCCAGCTCTCCCGCCCACTCTCCTGCACGCTCTCCCACCCACCCGCCCGCTCCCCGTCCCGCTCTCCCACCCGCTTTCCCCCCAGCTCTCCCGCCCACTCTCCTGCCCATTCTCCCGCTCGCCCTGCCACCCGCGCGGCCCACATCCAACTCGCGGGGGCTCAACAGGTGGCTAAACACGGCACGAGTAAAGTGGCGGGTCCACGCAGGTCGCGAGGAGCTGCTCGCTGCGTGCATAAAGGCGCAGCACCGCAACCAATCTCTCGTTCGCGCCGTGGCTGCTGGTGGAAGTGGCCTCCACTGGAGAGAGTTATGGAGAGAGCCCCCCTTCCCGAGGGCATCGTTGGCCTGTACATCCACACTGGCCGGACGTCTTGCAAGAAGTGGGAGAACTCAAGATTTACCCCATCCCCCCGTGAGCGATCTTAGCCATGGTGTGCTCCGCTGATGGGTGGACGGACACAGGGGGACTGAATAGACGTGGCCCATTGTTTCAACAGCAGCCGTGCCGGGAGATGGGACCGGCAAACTCCGTATCGCAATCCCCTGTGCTAACCATTACACCCACAGCATAGCTATAGTAGATATCACATCCGCGCGGCATGTTACATGTTGAAATTATTCTTGTTGTTGTTACTACAATCGAATGGCATCCGATCGTTAATCTCTCTCGTTATCGTGTTTGTTTTTATCCTGAAGGCCGTGGAGGCAAACCTCATCGCGGCCGACAGCCACTGGCTCTTCCTGAACGAGGTCAGCGTCGTCACCCACACGGCCCCTCTGACGCTGCTGGGGCTCAGTGCCACGATTAGAATTATTCACGATACGATTCGCACTCTCGCGGTGTGACCCTCTTTGCGATAACTGCGTCTGCACAGTTTTTCTCGCTTTGCCCTTTTGCTGCGCTTCCTGTGCTGGCAAAAGGTCGCTTGAAGGTTCTGAAACTGCCGTTAAATCAACACAAGCCTCATGAGTCTTCCAATCATCGGCGCGTTACAATCTCTAATGTGTACAATGCACAGGCTATCCGTTTCGAGATATTTATTTGAATAATCAAATGAACTACGGAAATTAGAACATCGTATCATCTAATCAAATCTTACCACAATGCCAGAAATTACCGAGATTTTTTTTCTCCAGAGCAATAAATGTAATGTATTATTGATATTATTCACAACTGTGATTATTGAGTGTCTGGCAAAGCAATATCTCACCTCCTCCTGGTGCCAGATGGTAGTCACACTGTGGTGTGCGTTGTGCGGCGAGCAGTGCCTTTTTAGAGAAAAGACCCCAGTGGCATGGCTAACGTCCACTCACAACCGCCACAGCGGCAAACGGGAGCCCCTTGGTCCGCTAACGAAGGGTCTGGCAACCCCTCCACCTATTACTGGGAGACAACAGATAGGTAATCAAAAGTTTTAAAAAAATTACCAGAGGTACCCCGAGGAGACAAGCGTCATCAGTGTCACCAGTCTCCTCAGACCATTCCCAGCTTTTCTCTCGGATGAATAAAGATTTTGATTCTGATTCCTACTTCTGCGGTGAGGGAGCTAACAAGCCACCTTGGGGGAGCCTCCAGAAACAACGGCCATTAAGCTAAAGTATTAAACGAAACCTTTTATTTTACCAGGTAAGGCCCACTGAGCTTTACAGCTCGTTTTTTCAGAAGCGACCTGGCCACAAATGATTGCCCAACGGAGTGGCTTATCACCACGTGGAAATTTATAGCAGCCAAATACTCCAAACGCGTGTTTCTAAATGTGGTGGGAAAAAAGCCGGTAGGACCCGGAGAAAAATCCACATGACCACAGGGAGAACATGCAAACTCTAAATATACAGCCGTCAGGGTTGGGATCCAACCCACGTCCTCCTCTACACCAGGCAAGGTAGTTAACATCTCACCACCGTGGCGCTCCATTCTCTGCGGCTGCCCCCCTCCCCCCGTGGAATGTCTGAATGTTCGCTGGCGGAGGAATTCCAGTTATTGGAAGCTAGATCAGTATGGCCCCGGGACATCTGTGAAATACAGGAGGCTCCGGTGGACTGGTTCCATCACCTGTCACCACGAGGGGTGAACGTTACTCCACTTGGGGCATGATACAGTATTATTAAAGGGCAGGGAGTGGCTCTTCTTCTGCATGTGGGAAGTCCCCCAGGCTTTTGTGGGCTCGCCCTCCACATCAACAGGAGGCGAGTGGTTGCCCATTGCCTCCGCCGAAGATGAGGGACAAGGGCAAGGTTGACGAGACGTGCTTCATATGACCTCCTTTCACAGGTGTTGGCTAAAGTGTCCCCCTTGGGATAAGAAATCTGACTCGGCTTTGTTGAATGCCCGATTGGGTTATGAAACTAGCACTTTAGGTGGAGAGTGATTGGAAGGCATCGGTTCAGATCAGCTCAACAGCAATGGTGAGCAGCCCATACTTTTCTGTGCAGGCCACTGGCTTGTAATCACCAACACGCTATTCTGTTGGAGGTGCATCAACTGATTGCAACGATTGCACTGATTGTAGCAAATGACGGGGCAACTCACTGCTCAGCGCACCAGAGAATGTCCGTGTCAATGTGGTTTCAGGCCGGGTCAGTCCTGCCATGTTTTCCCTCTACATCAGAGGTGTGGGTTATTTCAACAGGACCTACAATGATCTGGCCAAGACCTATGGGTTGTCCCTGGCCCTTGTGCTCACAACCATTTAAGGACCTTCCAGATGGTGGACAGGCAAGGGGGGGGGGGGGGGAGAGCTGCGTGGCCAGCCATCACAATTGTTCCGTGACAGGGGATAGCTTTCTGGCCCCCCGACACAATTTTAAAGCCTCCTTTTGACCCTGTACTTTGAGAAGCCTTCCGAGGCCGTCCCAAAGGTCGACTGGCCGTTAAGTGGGTACCTGGCACGGTGTTAATTCATTCACGCCAGGGAGCCAGAGGCAGCCATCTCGGTGCGAGCGACACAACTCCTTCCTGCTCCCGCTCTGGCTTGAGTCGCTGCTCGCCAACAGCGCTTGCTCCAACAGTCTGTTGACAATAATAATTTGCACGTATTAGGCGCCTTTCAAGTCGACTCAGCCTCAAGTGCGTACCCGGTGCGATGAGTAATCGTCGCCACTCAGGGAGGCAAAGGCGGTCGGGAGTGGTATCTGGCCACCCACCCCCACGTGTGCCGTGCCGGCCTTCACAGGTGCTGCTCACTAACAGCACTTGCCCCTACAGTCCGTTAGGCTATACCGGGGTGGGGGAGAGGGAGATCTTTGTCTTAGTACTTGTGTGTGTATCTACGTGCGAACCTGCGATCAGCAGGGTTGACTGCGTGCGGTATGAAAGAACGTCAACATACAAAGGAGGTCCCATGATGTAGCTGCTCACCCCGAGCTCTCGTTACTCTGATGGTTGCATTGTCTTTGTGCTGTGTTTGTTCTTTTGGCGTCCTCTGGTCTAACACCGTTTTGAGACGGGGTCGAAAGAAAGCTGTCTCTGGTGTGGACCAATCAGATTCAAAGACAATGCATATAATGTCAGAGTATATGTATTGTTTGTATTCTGACCACAAGTATATGTGGTCAATGCAGACATGATTCCTTGTAAAAGGTTTCAGTTTGTTGCCATAAAAAAAAGGGGAAAACCTATTCTCATACATATGTATATGTGTATATGTATATACGTGTCTGTGTGTGTCCTTATCTATGTGTGTGTGTCCTTATTCATGTGCGTGTGTCCTTATCGATGTGTGTGTGTCCTTGTCCATGTGTGTGTCCCCTTGTCCATGTGTGTGTGTCCTTGTCCATGTGTGTGTGTCCTTGTCCATGTGTGTGTGTCCTTGTCCATGTGTGTGTGTCCTTGTCCATGTGCGTGTGTCCTTGCCTCTGCGTAGGAGGTGAGCCTGGTGGAGGTGCAGGAGCTGGCGCGCGTCTCCGTCGGCCGCCTCACCGTGCTGCGCCAGGTGTTCCCCGCACCGCGCGACCCTGCGCACAGGTGCGAGCGCGATGGGCACCACGTCTCGCCGGCGCTCTGCGACCCCCAGGATCCCGCCTACATGACCCCCGAGGTGAGCCACGTGTTACCCCCCCCAGGTGAGCCACGTGTTACCCCCCTGTCCCAGGTGAGCCATGTGTTACCCACCCCCCCTCCCGGTGAGCCACGTGTTACCCCCCAGGTGAGCCACGTGTTACCCCCCTGTCCCAGGTGAGCCACGTGTTACCCACCCCCCCTCCCGGTGAGCCACGTGTTACCCCCCCAGGTGAGCCACGTGTTACCCCCCTGTCCCAGGTGAGCCATGTGTTACCACCCCCCCCCCCCCCACCAGATGAGCCACGTGTTACCCCCTTGTCCCAGGTGAGCCACGTGTTACCCCCCCAGGTGAGCCACGTGTTACCCCCCAGGTGACCAACGTGTCCCACAATGCATGGGGCTGTGAGCAGTCACACACCCGACCGCCGTTGTTTTCCCGAGCGCTGGCATCATTCAGGGCTGAGTTGGCCCAGGCCGAGGCCTGAGACCGGCTCAGGCATGGCTCGCCGCTGCTGATTGCCCACGTTCAGCAAACGTAATTCAGGTCGTTGGGTTCGAAGCGAAGCGCTGCTCCTCACTAATATCTACGCCACCACCACCACCGCCGCTACGTCACCGAGACAGACAAAGTCGGAGCTCACCTGTTGGAGCAACAGGACAAGGACACGCACACAATGTTGTTGATGTGAGAAATTAGCGTGTAACTGTAAGATAGGATGAGAGCAGCCTCCTGGACGAGGGCACGGAAGTGGCTATGTTAATGTGAGAGATTAGCATGTTAATGTAAAATCGAAGAGTGGTGCAATCCAAAGGCATGAGTGCAACCCAAAGGGTGCAATCCAAAGGGCATGTGAGCATGAGAGTGCAATTCAAAGGCATGAGAGTGCAATCCAAAGGACATGTGAGTATGAGAGTGAAATCCAAAGGACATGTGAGCATGAGAGTGCAATCCAAAGGACATGTGAGCATGAGAGTGCAATCCAAAGGCATGAGAGTGCAATGCAAAGGACATGTGAGCATGAGATATTTAAGAGAGAGGCATAGAGAGAGACACAGAGAGTCGGAAATAACAGCTGACATAGGCAAGTAGGATGGAAACATCACAGTCAGTTAAGACTTTACCTGGTTAATAACGTCCTTCCAATGATTGCTCAGTTTGTACCCATCCTCTTGGTTGAATTTGTGTCTGTGTTTATATATCTTGATGGCTTCATGAACAAATATCACTAGCCCCGGCCACTTCTTTATGACCCTTGGGCTACACCCATTTCAAACCTTTTTTAAAACAGTCTGCCTCAGCAGCAGGCCAATGCTTTCCCACCTGATGATGGATGCTTGTGTTGCGCCGAAACGTTGTGATTTATTTTATTTTATACCTACGTGACTTTACCGAAAGAACCAAAGAGTATGGATTCCTGCAGTCACGAAAGCTTCAAATCAAGATTATGTTGACATTCTTTCATACCATATGTAGTAAACCGTGCTAATAGGAGGTTAGCGCATAGATACACACAAAGACAAAGATCCCCCCTCTCCCCCACCCTGGTATAGCCTACCAGACGTTTAGGGCAAGTGCTGTTAAGTGAGCAGCACCTATGAAGGCCGGTACGGTACACAAGGGTGGGTGGCCAGCACCACGCCCGGCCACCTTTGCTAACCTCGTGGCGATGTTTACACACCGCACCAGGTACTCATTTGAGGCTGAATCGACCTAGGTGAGGCCCAGGACCGGTTTAGGTTATTGTCACTGGTGACGATCGTAATCGTAATCGTCACCAGTGACGATTATCTCAACTGGTCCAGACATCGACACCTGCACAGAAATGCAAGGGCAATACATACCAAGATCTGCTGTTTAGCTGTGAGGTCACCCCTCCTCTGCCATAGGAATGTGGAATTTCCGCCGCCGGCTCAAGGCTGTGCATAGCAGCACACAGTGCCTACTCCGCCTGTTTGAGCAACTAAATGCACCTCTATCCTTGCCGTTCAGACTGTGAGACGGCAACCTTGCGATTCAATATAACCACACGCTGTCGCGCGCGCAATCAAACTCAAAACTACGACTTCCGCAATGCCTCGCTGATTGCTGAGCACTTCGCCTTGGCCGATGAAACGCGACGGGGGCGGTGACGGCGTCTGCGGCTGACATCGCCTTTGACGCCGTGGAAGAAAACCTGCCTTTCTCCTCGCTTGGCTAAGGACACGCGGCACAATGCCCTCTTTATTTTGCTTAAATGTGAACAACATGGTTTCTAAGTGGCCGTTCTCACCGCGCTCGCCTCGCTGTCGATCCGAGTCCAGGAGCCCTCGTTCCCCAAGGGCGGTCTCTTTAACGAGGGGGGCGACGTTCCAGAACAACAACAGCAACCCGAGGAAGGGGGACGGATGCTCCATGTGGCAATTTGCAAATTGCTTTTTTTTTCCCTCGGAGAACCCAGTCGCACTGTCTCAGCAGCTCCGCTTTAATTAGAGACAATGTTCGCAGGGCTCTGTTCGGTTTGAAGGCAGCGCAAAAAATCGCGAGCATCATCCTTCCCCCTGGGCGCAGCATTTCCCGGGGTGCCGGTGGGATTTGGGTGGTCTGTGGGAAGAAGGGGGGAAAGGCAAGCCTTGATTTCGGTCACGGGGCCTGGCAGCCTCTGGGTATTTGGCATTGAGGACATCCTCCTCCACCTCCTCCTAGTCAGGTTCAGAATTTATATATATATTTTTTCTATTTTGCGCTCTGGCTGATTCTGACCATGTCTACCCCATCCCGGTGTCTCTCTACGCCAATTGTGTTCTCAATCTTAAAATGTTCGTACCCCGCTCGTAGCTGACACACCAAACCATTCATTGCAACATCGCTCACGATTACTTATTTATTTGCTGTTCCGTGGCGGTTAACACAATTTGGACTTGCGATCCAGAGGTCACCGGTTCTATCTCCCGACGTGGCAGTTAAAACATTGACCGGTTCCTTACAATCCCCCACTCCACGTCGGACCACCCTGCAGGATGTTCGGATTTTCACGATGGTCGCTCTCACCACGGTCGCTCAGTCGGCCCGGGTGCTGGTCAGACGTTCAGCTTCTGACGAGCGTGGAAGATGGGCCCAAGTGCCCGCTGAGAGGGGTCACTCGGGACTTGCTCATTGTGTCCTTCCTCTCCCCGGCGCTGTCAAAATACGCACGCCTCCCTTCGCGCGAAAGCGCTTGAGATGCGGTCTTTACAAATTCCAAATTACATCACGGCGCGTAAAAAGAACAAGGGTGATTAGATTTTTTTTTACAATTTCCTCGCACTCGCTCCTTAATTGCTCGGGTAGCTTTTGTTTTCGATCGTGCTTTCATTAACTCAAGAACAATAACGAAAATGCCTCTGGCCACATCTGTCAGCTGCATAATCGCAGCTCTCTCGCGCCGCCCGTGTATTTCAAGGGCGTCAGGTTAGATAAAAAAAAATATCCCCCCAGAGACGATACCGACGCAGCAGATATTGTGTTCATACCCGCAAAAAAAATGCCTTCGAAATTAATGTAAGACATTTTTTTCCTTCCTTTTTTTGTGCTTTTAATCAACATTATTCTAATGGGATCAACTTAGAGACTAATGTTGCTGGGGTAATTTTTGCCGCGCGGTGAAATCTGTCGCTTGCGTTGAATTTGACTGTCGGGCTCCCCCCCCCCACCGCTCCTATTTCCACCGCGCTCTTCGCTGCTTGGGCTCGGGGCTGCCAAAATATTTTCGCGGTCACTTTGCTTTGGTAAAAAAAGAAATATATAGATAAAAACTTAAAAATGTTAACGGAAGCAGCGCAACGCTCACGGGCGTCAGATAAAGTAAAACATATACATATAACAATAAAAAAAAATATTATAGTTATGTAATAAAAACAAAGGGTGCAGCCCTGCAATTGCTGGCTCACGACACTGCTAAGCAGTATTTTGGGCCCACCCCTCCACGCTGGCTAGAGGCGTCTTGCAAAAGATGGGAGTTACCCACACTTTACCCCACTCGCACGCGCGACCTGCCCATTGCCGAACTGTGATGCACCCCCACACGTCCTTACGGCGCGAAATAAGTTCAACACACGCGGACACGCACGTGCGGCAATGTGCTTGGGCACGAGGCCATTTAGTCGACCGGTCGGCCGGTCGGCCGGTCGTCTGGCAGTGGGGTAAAATGTGGGGAGGCCCACCGCTTCCGAGACATCTTGGCCAGTGTGGAAGCATAGGCCAAAACACCCTCTAAGAGGGGCTTCCTCGAGCTCCGTCTAGACCAGGGGTGGCCAACCTTGTAAGGTTGACTGTAGAATTCCGCTCCACGTGCAACCTGTTGATCGAGCGGCTGTGGTGCTAACCGCTGGGTGGACCCCGCGGGAAAACGGAATAACCTGGGGTTTGGAATCGACCCGGTGGCTCCTGGATTGCAAGCCGGGCGGTGGTGGCTATACACGTGGCCTTGCACTGTGGATGCGACGGTTGGTGGTGGGGGGGGAGAGATAAAATAGATCTGCATCGTCATTTCACTTTGCCGCTCCGAGAGATCGAACGGGCGACCTCTGGTATTGCACGATCAGTTTGCTAGCAATTACTATGGCGTGATATGTGTTGCAATGTTCCGTAATTGTTTTCATACGTATGTCTTAAAAAAATCGACGACGTGTTTCATGAAAGTATTTAATATTTCCTCGATTAGCGGACATCGCGTGAAATCGATCTAGAGCTCGCCCATTATATTTTATTTTCCGGCGGCGGCGGCATTTGTACGCAAAACCTAAGTTCCTTAAAACCCCATCGACCCTGTTCACCCGGCGGAGCAGACGGGCGCGATACAGTTTAGTCTTATTCTACGGTTCTTTCGGTAAAGTAACATAGATAGAAATAATAACAATAAAATAATAACAATGAAGTGAATTATTATTTTATTTTATTATTGTTATTTTTTCTATCTACGCGACTTTACCGAAAGAACCATAGAATATGGATGCATGCGGTCACGAAAGTTTTAAGTCAAAATTTTTCAGTTTAGTCCATCGCTGGGTCGCGCGTTGTTG